AGTCGACACATATCCTCTATTTGCCCAAGGCATTTTTTACTAGAAACACATTAGATAGCCATTTGGTATACTTTTCTTTCAAAATAACCTTGACATATAATAGGCCTCTCATTGTGTTTTTGATAGCCTCGACCTTTTTAGGAGATTGTTTTCTCTTTTGTTAGGACATATACCGGGAACTGATGTCTAGGTTTAACAAATGGCAATCTACTAAGGGATTGATACTGGGCATTTTGTGCAGAGATATGAATCCTGGCGGGATTTTTCTCCTAGTTTCACACATTCAAACTCATTGTTCGGGGTAGGTCTAAGTTTGTCTTTGTGTGAGTCCAGGTAAAATCCACCATCGCTCTTTAACTCCAATGCAATGAATTTCCCGTGGGTCATCCACTTGATTCTTCTCACCTCCATAATTATACACCGACTGTGATCGGTGCCCCTTCTTTGTCATGATAGGCTACCTTCGAGTGAACAATGAAAGCGACCATGTCCAACTTTTCTAAGAAGGATCTTCCTAAAATGCCTTTGAAAGTGCTTTTGCCCTGTATAATGAGAAATATGAGGGTCACTCTTCTTCGATGCGTTTTTTCTTCGATCAATATTGTTAGGTATATCACTCTGCATAGACGAGTAATTGTATAGTTAAAGGCTAGTAAAACTTCCTCGTTGAACGAATTCAAATATGCTTGCTTAAGACTTATCAATTCCAATGCGTCTTCACAAAGGGTGTTTCTAGAGCTTTTTTCATCAACTAGAAGTCATGTCAAGGCTTGACTGGTGATAACTGCCGTGATGATTAACGGTAGTTCAGAGTTTGCAACTTCGTCGTTCTTTTCTCTATTTAGGAATCCTAAATTAGATCTATAACTTATTAAACTTTTGAGTTGGATTTTAGTAATAAATAGTAAGAGAACGGTGAATCACCAAATGAAGTAAGGTTTCAAAATGTGTCGATCGATGATGATACATGAAAAACCAAATTTGAAGTGGAATCGGGTTTTTCAGTTATCTTCTTGGACGTTACCGCTTACACTCGATTATTCGATGGTAGAGATCTTTCTTGAGGTCAAAAACGAGTTGTTCTTGACAAAACTGCGGGAACGGAAAATCATTTCCCACAAACGGCGCCATTATTCTGATTTAGAACTAGAAATAGAGTGAGAAGTGGAAGTTGTGGCATAGTGAAGATTTTGAAGCGACGGTGCAGGGGTGTACCTGCAAGGTTATCACTTTGATGCTTAAGTCAGTATGTGAAAGAGTAGAGAATATTCAAATTGTATTTGAAACTTGTTACCTGAAATGACGTCATTCCCCATATATATGGGAGAGGAATAAAGACCTCTCTATCTTGCATGCATGGAATCTAGAGGACTGTTGGATTTGCTTGAGGTGTAGATCTCCTATAACGAGATATATTATAGTCCAGTGGCCAGAAGAAGTTTCTAGAAGCTCGATCCCGTATTTGGTTGGCTTAAGCTTCAACGTGTGGTGATCTATATTAGGATGGTCGGGTCGAGAGAGACATGACTAGCACATAACAACATTCTTTGTATAATATGAGCCTTTAAATATATATATTGCATTGAAATATCCTAAATGTATATGTGCAATGAAAGAGGAAGTGGAATTAATTGAAAATAACAACATGGGAAGTAGTCGTCCTATCTCAAGGAAAGAAATCAATTGGTATGAAGTGAGTATATAAGATGAAACTGAAATTTAAAGGTGAAGTAATTAGGTTCAATGTCACATTAGTAGCTAGGGGATTTCTTTAAAGGAAAGACTTAAATTTTGAAGAAGTTTTTGCACTAGTTGCCAAAATTACGACAATAAGACTAGTTGTTGTTATAGTATATTTAAATAATTGATTCACGTATCAGATGAATGTAAATTTTTTTTAAATGGACCCTTAGATAAAGAGTTCTTTTTTGTACAAAATCTTGGTTTTGATGAGAAGAATTGAGAATTAAAACCTTGCAAATTGAGAAAAACACTAAATGGACTCAAGCAGGAAATTAGAGCATGGAATGAAAAGATATACAAGATCATAAATGAAATTGGTTTCTTAAAGTGTGTGTTGAACATTGAGTGTGCATGAGAAAATACACTAGTAAAATGAATGATTTTATTATATGTCTTTATGTAGATAACTTGCTAGTCAAGGGTAACAATGAATCCTAAATAAATGATTTCCAGAAGAACATTATGAAGGTATTTGAGATGACTGTCTTAGGTCATATTTCATATTTCTTTGGCACAAAGTTTCAAAAAACTAATAGAAGGGTGATGGTGCATCAAAATAAATACGCTAGTAATATTTTCAAGAGGTTTGGGATGAAGCATTACAATCGTGTTGTGACCTTTCCTACCGTAGTATACAATGGAGGAATTATAAGCGGATTTATGGAGAGACCAAAATCATCACGTCTAGAAATAACAAAGAGGATCTTGAGATACATTAAAGACACAATTGATAATGACATCCTTATTCTAATAGTTGATGACAAGAGAAGCTATAAATTGCATGATACATTGATTCAAATTGGTGCAGTGACATAGATGACATAAAATCTGTTGCATGCTACATCTTTCTAGTTAGAGGAACATTAATCACTTAGTGCTCAAGAAAAGAACTAATAGTAACACTATCAATATCATCTTGTAAAGTGGGGTATACAGTAGTTTTTTGAGTCCTTACAAGTTACGTAATTGATGAATTTGATTGAAATACTCAATAATGGAAGATATATTAAATAGACAACATATTTGTCATTAATTTGGCTAAAAATTTCATTGCACATAAAAAAAAAAAGTAAACACATAGAGTGAAATTTCATTATTTGAGTTAGCAAGTTAAACAAATAAAAATTGAAATTGAAGTATTGTTGAAGTGAAGATCAAGTAGTAAATTTGTTGACAAAGGGAGGAGTTAGAATGAAAGTGTTTTGATTTTTTCGTCCCGTTGCAATGTTTGCTAAGATCGACGGACTAACATCTAACGTATATTTGTTCAATAATTTTAGCGATGACAATGTTACAAATTTGGAGGCATGAAAATTTCGAACCTTTTAATTTCCTTAAAGTTGTAGACTATTATATTTATGGACATTTTTATTGTCGCTATTAACTTAGTATTGTATTTTTGTTTGTAGATTCATCGTTTGTAGGCATGAAAACATGGCGGGGCGTGTGAGAGTTTAATCATTACCAACTTCGTTCTACCTCCCATAATCAGCCTCGTCTCTGCCTCCAAATCTGGACGAGTCCAATATTTAGTCTCCCGTCCCCTAACAAGAAACGAATTTTCCCACACCGTCTCCAACCTCAATTAAATTGGATTTTCTCTATTAAATTCAGAGCGAGCTCAAGCAGAGTCGGATTTATTTATCATGTCTACTTGTTTCGAGTTTTATAAATTTTTAATAAATATAATAATATGAATTAATGTTGATTTTTAGTTTAACAAAAAGAAAAAGAAAACAAATTTCTATAGTGTGTATTTATTTAATTTGAAAAAAAACAACTCACTTACTATTGATTTCATTTACTCAAACAAAACACCAAGTCACTTATTTATTTAGGACACCGACAACATTTCTCTGTACAAAGAAAATTAATCAAATTCAATTTAAAATATTTATTATTATTTTATAGAAATCAATTCATTTCGCAGTCTTCCTTCACCAACAACATTTGACTTCTCAAATTGGTTATTGTAGAAGAAAAACTATTTTATAATCCCTTTTTGTTTTATTTATAGTTATATATAATGTTTTAAAAAATGATTATTTGTATCAATTATTTGATTTTGATGATAAAATAAAATTAATTAAATATTTTTACTAATAATATAAAATAGTTGGTGAATTGAAATAAGATTGAATCACACCATTAATGCAAGATTGTTAGAGCTTTTCATCATGAAAGCCTGTTACTATAATGTTTTAAAAATTAGACCGGATATCAAGCTATCAGAGTATTGAATCACTGGTTTATAAGTCAAATTGCACGACGAAATCAAATTAAATCGGATAACTCAATTGAATAAATCGATCTTTATAATAAAATAATATATTTATTAAATCAATTGAACCAGATAATTCAATGTCTAAAAAAATATTATAACACCTACAAAATTTTAAAATTTTAAAATATAATAATTTCACATATTTATTATTTAAATTCAAATTTTAAATATAATCATCACTCATAACAAAATAATACAAAATATAAATTTAAATAAATTTTGAATCATCTAACGAAAAACAAGAAAGTTATTTCAAATAAAGTATATATATATATATATATATATATATATATATATATATATATTAAATTATCAAAATAACGTCGTTTTATCTTAGAAAAAAAATCATATATTTGACCTGTCAATTTTTTAAAATTGTCAGTTCGTTGATATTGACTTGTTTTAACATGTTTCTATTGGTTCAATAACATATTCGATCAAATAATCATATCAAACCGATAACTCTTTCGATTCTCTGTTTGACCAATCTGGTCAATTAATTCGGTTTAATTTTTAAAACAGATATCCTTAAATTTTCTATCACCTTACTACATACTCACACCTAAATATATATTATATATCAAATTTAGTGCTTGCAAAATTTAACTCAATTCAACATGTTTATAGGAGTCAGGAGTAACATTTGTTATAATACATTTCCATTATTATAATTTGAATGTATGGATATCTAATTAATGTGACAAATTGTAAAATAGTGTAAATTATAGTAATAGAAACCTCCATTTCTATTCGAAACCCCATTTCACTCATCTACCTCAGTTAAACCCATTTTACCTTCTTTTTTCATACACTACTACTTCTACACAGATTCAGACACTACTCTTCTTCTTCTTCTTCTTCATTTCCACATTTACAACTTCACACAAACCAGAACCCCTTCTTCACTCCTCACACATTTCCACAGATCCACAATCTTCTTTCTCTTTCCAGCACTTCATTCTCTCTCTCTAAAATGTCTCCTATAACTCTCCTTACCATTCTCTTCCTCATCACATCTCTCCAAACCCAAGCCTCCGTCCACAATTACAAAAGCGAAACTTTCTCCGTCAAAGGCAACGCCTTTGTCGTCCATGGAGGCAGCGAAGGAATTTACTCATCTACCCTCAACGAAACTTCCATCACTTCAATTCCCGACTCTTTCATTAGGTAATTTCACTTCACATCCCTTTCTGGGTTTTTTTCTCTTTCGCTTATATTTCATTCCTTTTAACGTTTTTCTTCATCACATTCTCTTGGGTAGGTACATCACGCCAGATTTTTAATTATTCTACACGTTTCTTCAATTTCTAAATTCAGCTTTTCAGTGCAGTGTGTCTATGTAGATTGTTATTTAAAAGTACTTTTTTTTTTATCAGCGGATTATTTCACAGTTTGATTTTGATTCTGGGTAGTGCCGCGTATAATCTTAATTATATAAAAGAAATTATGCTGATTTTTTTGTTAATACCAGGTTTGATAAAGTCACATTCCGTAGAAACAAGGAATTATCAAACTTTAGCTCATGGCCGATACAAGCGGTTGTTTTTGAAGTTGAGGATAGAGAGATGATTGGTGGTTCGGCTTATGGGGGTCAAAGGGCTGTTTGTTGCACTGGTGATCTGGCTAAACTCGGTGTGTGCAATGAAGGACAGGTCATTCATCGTCCATCTACTGTGAATTCGGATTGGCCTCAAGTTTATGGTGTCGCTTTTGAGATGGACAATGAAGTAGCAGAGCTTCCATTGAAGTCTATTCAAATCACGAAAACCGGGATGTACAATTTGTATTTCATTCATTGTGATCCGAGGCTTAAGGAGTTGGTTGTTGAAGGGAAAACTGTATGGAAGAATCCGTCGGGTTATCTACCGGGTAGAATGGCACCTATGAAGATTTTCTTTCAGTTCATGTCTTTTGCGTATGTGTTGCTTGGTATTTTTTGGTTCTTTCAATATCTTAGATTTTGGAAGGAAGTGTTTCCACTGCAAAACTGCATCACTCTAGTGATAACACTAGGAATGTTTGAGATGGCTTTTTGGTACTTTGACTATGCTGAGTTTAGCGAAACTGGAGTCAGGCCAACCGGGACGACTATATGGGCTGTTACGTTTGGAACTGTTAAGAGAACTATTGCACGGTTGATCATCTTGATTGTGTCAATGGGCTACGGTGTTGTGAGACCGACTCTTGGAGGCCTTACATCGAAGGTTGTTATGCTTGGAGGAACCTTCTTTGTTGCATCTCAAGTGCTTGAATTGGTGGAACATGTCGGCGCAATAAGTGATCTTTCTGGTAAAGCTAAACTTTTTTTGGTTCTTCCTGCCGCAGTTTTAGATGTGTTCTTCATTCTTTGGATTTTCACTTCACTGTCTGCGACTTTAAATAAACTTCAGGTATTCATCAACAAGTCTATAATATCATGATATAGTTTAATTCATGAAAAATCATGTGAACCTTTTCTTAAGTTTTGTGTATAGTAGTTATTTCTCGAAGATGTAACGTGAAATGCTTATGCAACGTGACAGGCAAGAAGGATGATGATAAAATTGGATATGTATAGGAAGTTCACTAATGCTTTGGCAGTAGCTGTGGTGGTATCTGTGGGATGGATATGTTATGAGGTAATTCACAAACATAATCTCTCATTTCAATTACTTTCGATACTAACAAGGCCTGGTTTTGACGATTGAGTCGAGCTCATTGGTTTATGAAATCGGATGCTATGAATAAATTAAAAGGAATGTTAGTCTAGAATAGATCAAGATATGTTCTGCAAAGTAGAGGATCATTAACTTTTCGTTATTTCTTGTGCTTACCTTACCAATTTTGTTTCAGCTGTATTTCAAATCAAATGATATATACAATGAGCAATGGCAAAATGCTTGGATCATCCCAGCCTTTTGGCAAGTTCTATCCTACTCTCTCCTGTGTGTCATTTGTGTTCTCTGGGCACCGTCTCAAAATTCGACAAGGTAAAATTCGTACCTCTATCTTTACTTCCTTTTGTTATCTATTGACATAAGTTTGGGAACAACTTACTATGACATGTCTATAAAATTTTTTAAGCCTATTTCTATAAATTCTTCAAGATGATAAACTCTTCAAGATAATGTATATGAAAACAATCTGATTGTATTGTATTCTTTGTCATTGTAATATCCTATACATAAGCACGTATACGATAAGCGCTTATGCTATAAACATTTAATTTAGTTATTTATCCAAGCAGGGATGTCTGCAATAACCAGACAAGCTTTCTTTTCTATGCTCTATGTACATATACCTCATTTGTATCTCACCTTTGTTGCTATTCCAACAGATACGCTTACCGTGATGATGGGAGCGAAGAGTTTGACAGGGATGATACTACTTTGACGCTCATAAAACCATCATCTATTTCAACAAAGGATGTTAGAAGTGTTCCAGATGTAAGACCAGGACAAGACAACAATGGAACTTCAAATGATGATTTAGAAGAAGATAAAAGAGAATAGGCTAGAAGTAGCCTTGTTTCTATAATTCCAATTGTATCATTAGCACTAAAACTATTTTCTTTTATTGAAAATTAGCTCTAAAACTCTTTTCTTTTATTTATTATTTTTCTGATTATCTTCTCTGTTCTCAATCTATTAGCATTTTGAGCCAGCATTTACTTGTGAGTTTGGATTCCATGATAAAAATATAGTTCAGTTTAGTTTACCAATACAAAGAAACTATCTTCAATTATGAAGTGATTTATGTATATTATTGTTATCCATGTGCATGCAAGCATACATGTGGGGGATATTTTCAAGTTTCCAGCTGTATAGTATTTTACTAATGACTATTATATGGATTGATGATGAAAGAGGTTCAGAATCCTATTGCTTTAGTTCATTTTTCACACCATGTTCTAAATTTTCATATATTGAATTGTTTAAATCCTCTTCTATTTCAACTTCACCATTTAAAATATTAAACTTTCACTCCATAAAAAATCCAAGTTCTCTTCCAAGCTGAATCTCACAGCTTAGAAAATTCATTTGGTTTTGTTGAAGAATATTTATAGATGTTCTTGTAATTTTTTTTATAGCAAATATGTTATGTTCATGTTTATAACTATTTCAGTTTTAGGTAATCCTTTATTGTTTGGGTTTTGGGCGGCCAAATAGGCAAAGCCCAAGTCATTATAATCCACTTCATTCGATCTAAAGTAGAAAATCCGTTCACATGAAAAGTAAGGTATACTCTTTGATCTCCATTTTTAACTACACTTATTTTGAATCTTGAACTGACCTGAATCTTAACAACACAACTATCAACTTCAACACTAATCATGCATGTCTACCATGCGCTCAAACAGAGATCATCACGGTCGATTCAAGATCATCAGTTCATCAACAACATCCAATTATACTTCCTGAACGAAAGTGTGGCGCCGTTTGTGGGAAACGACTTCTGATTCCTATAATTTCAAATTCAATTTCCAATTTAGAAGTTTGTAACCTCATCAGAACACTGAATCAAGAGCATTCATATTCGAACACAGAGATCTTTCACATTCGATCCAATCAGTTATCATTTCGATGACGATTCATCAAATTTATAGATCTCTGATTCCCTCGGAAACTCCACAAAGTAAAAGAAGAAAGGATCCTAGATCTAAATTCATATCTACACTAAAATTACTAGAGAATGGAAGCATTTTCCTTGAAGATCATGCCGGAGATTCATGATCTATCTTCCAATCTAACATCGCCTCTATTGTTTGCCGTTAACGTGATACTTCCCATGGCGAATTTGAAGATATGAAGAGTCCATAGTTAATGTTGGCGTGATTCCAGTACCATAACGCTAAGTACCAAAGGATTTCATTCGACCATGTTCTTGGCCCTAGGGGAATACGTCTGTAAGCCCTGGTCGCCTCTAAGCAGACTGTCAATCATGTCTTGATTGGACGGGGCTGATTTTCGCAACAAGGTAAGAGGGGGGTGCAAGAATGTTGTTGTTACTGGGGTCACTAGGCTTCGTGTCGAGATATTTGACAAAGACAATTTTGTGGCCCAAAGATTTCAACATCCGTCCTCAAGCTATATCCTCTACAAAGCTGATCATCCATCGGTACCCCAGTAGACGAAGATAAGGCTCATAACACTAACGTCCCATCCAACTGAAGAAGATGCAGTAAGAAGAGAAGCATACTTCTTGGAGTCCCCCAAAATAGGACACATACCAAGGGCTTGGAATGTCGCCAAGATAAAATGGTACTACGATTAAAGGTCTATTTATTTAGCCATTCCATTATTTCACTGTAATAAATTCACTTCATTATGAATACAAATATTTGTGTATCTTTTTTTCTTCTTCCTCTATTGTGTGTTTTTTTGTCTATCTATCTTTTAGAGCATTAAAAGCAGAATGTTAAAAACTACATGCATTTTTCTAATAATTACATGCATTTCTTAACATTTTAGAGCATCCACATCCATTATATTCATTTGGATTCTTTAAATGGGATCCACATAATTTTTTATATTATTTCATATTTCTCAATTTTTTAAATAACTCATCTACAATTCTCAAATATTCATCTAACTCATCAAAAAATCTAAAACGGATCCCACTTGACCCCCACAATATACTCCATAACCCATCTATTCTTAACAATTTTTGAGAAAAAAATGAATAAAAAGACCAAATAAAATTTAAGAAGTGTGCTTTAGTATGATGACGTGTTTTAGTTCAAGAACGTGAAAACAAGTTAAATATCCATTTATTACTGACACAATCTCTTTAATAAATGTGTAGGAACTCTCAAAGAACACCGATAATCATTCTCTTATACAAGTAACATGTGTTTCTGCGCATCTTATACAAATTACATGCATTTCCACGCATATGATACACACTACATGCATTTATGCAAAACTGGTACATATTACACGCATTTATTTACATTTGATATAGACTACACACATTTCTACATAGGAGATATAGGTTAAACGCATTTTTACGTAGCTAAGGAATCCCCTTCATATCTAGTCAATCCAAGGGTGTTAGGCGTTACAGCCCTGATACGTCCACCTCGATCTGAGCCAAGCCTCAGGGGAAGGGACAGATGCTACCCTTGGCGGGGGAGCGATCCTTTGTGATATGGAGCATATCACAAGTATGAGTAAGCATCACGCCAAACCTATACCCCACCATGGGGAAAACAAATACATAATGAATTAAGTCATGCTAATTACAACAAACGAACATATCAACAAAAAATAGCAGCTAACGTCATTCAAAGCGCTAAGCCGCAAATCACAAAGACAATTGTCATGGAAATATGAAGAGAACATAAAGTAATTTGTTTTGATGAGGAGCCTCTTTTCCATATAAAGGAAAGAAATCAAGGTTCTCACACCCTAAGAAGACGACTCTTTGCAATTGTCAAGGTGGTAGAATTGGAGCTCACTGGTTAACATCGATGCGTGGTCCGTGAAACACCCTTCTAAATCCCACAATTAAATCATGAATAATTTAAAAATAATTCAATTAACCTCACCGCTCTAGGGTGTCACACTTCATAGAAAACATCATAATAAACAATCATGCTCCGTAACACGGGTTGCATCACTAACATTAATATCTCTATAATTTAACATATCATTTAAATTTTTAACATCACAACAGATTCATCGTCATAAATAAACTTCTTCATACATCAAAACTCATAGTATCTTAATCTCATCAGAAGTTGGAATTGAAAATCATCTTAACATCCAAAAATCTCATAAAGTATGTCAACAAAAGGAACATACAGTACTATAAAAAGTCCTTGTAATGTCGGACACAAAATATGTTTTACCTCGGTTACAAAAGCAACATAAATAAGGTCGTCATTAAAGTATGGACTTAGTACTTTGGTGGTTAAAACATCGAGGGGTATTGTAATTGCGCATGAATTCGAATCCCACCAATTACATTTTTATTATTTACAATAATAGCATCTCATGTATCTCGAGTTATCAATAAAATCGAGAGGTGAATTATTTGTATTTTTTTAAATTTAAACTAGTTACATTGCTTACACAGAAAATTAATAAAATAATTTGTTTACAAAATACAATGTTTACCCAGAATATTAAACGGGTTACATTGATTACACAAAATATCAACATAAAAATTAAATTGCTCACGAAGATCATATGTTGGATCTTCAACTCCTTGATACCCTAGGAAGATCAAATATTGGGAAACAATATATTTTCTATGGCCTTTCCTTGCATTTGTTTCTGATACCAACAAAAAAAGGGTTAGATAAATAAATGATTTTCTTCTCAAATAAATATTTAAGTACACAAACCTTAAACCCAAATAATTTTCTGCTCTTGCAATCCATCATAGAGAACTCTTCATGACAAAGACTCTTGCATATCTTAAAGTGGAGGATAGTTTCAAGTGCTTCGTGATGTTTCATTATCAATTTTTGATATTCAGAGTACTTTTATAATGGAAGTTAATCTAGATTTCATGCGGACCACTAATGGTAGCTGTTCTGGACTGGGCTGGGCTGGCCCAAGAGCAACGATAAAGGCCCAATCCAAACGGACTTGCTAGGGGTCACGCCGACCTAAGGACCATAGTTGTGCCCGACATACATCACTGGGGCGACATCCTCGACCTCGTACTATCCAGCTCGACCTCAGCTCGAGCACTCCTCCAACAGCGGACACGGTCCACTACACTCTCAACGGGACCCCGAAAAGACCGCGTCCTTGTCCGCCCGCACTTCACGCGGGACATCCAGGAAGGGGACCACGTGCGGGTCTCCACTACGCACGTAGAACCTGGCAGTTCCTCCATTGGGCCAAACCTGCCCGGCCCAATAAAGGAACCTTGGCCCAGCGCTGGGGGCTATAAATACCCTCTGTTCCCAGAGGGTCAGGTATTCATTCTATCACATATACTCACATTTTGCCTGCTCGTGCTCTTACTTACTTCAGCATCGGAGTGCCTTGCAGGTACCCCCCCACCTCATTCAAAACTTCAGCTCGGAGCCAGCCGTGACGGTCCAAGTCTGATCAGGTTAGATCAGTGGCACCGTCTGTGGGAACCTAGCTTCCCCGTCTTGCAAAACTCAAAGACCAAAGCTCAAATTCAACTACCATTGTCATGGCTGATCAAGCTCGCGATGAGCAGAACGTCCGCGTCGTCGACACTAACAACGACACCGCGGACAAAAACAGACACCTTGATAACGCCGGCAACCCCGACCACAACACCATTCCTGCGACAACTCCCCCCGGAACTTCCACCTACCGGGACGGAGCTACTGCATCATCTTCCTCGGTCCCTCCACCACTCGAAGACGACCCGGCGGCCCTCGCACACTATAGAGCTTCCCGGTTCCAGGAAGTCCCCGTCCCCGCCGGGGCGGATGCCACAACTCAAGCGTTGTTCGCAGCGATTAATCAAACGAACTATCTCATCTTCGCCCAGGGAGAGAGACTAAGGGCGCTTGAAG